AAGATTTTCCTCGTAAAACTATTTTATACAGATTCGATCTTCCTGATGTTCTTTTTTGAATGCACAGAAAAAACCGTCGTTCCGTATTCTAGAATTAGGCAAATATAAGTTTTATACCCTTTGAGTAAAATACAAGGGTCCTTAGTTAAGACACATTTTAGAAATTGAAAGAGCCGTCTCTCCGCTTTACTCACTGACATGGAGCAATGCAAATCAAAAGTCAATTTGTCATCAATGACGAGTCCTAAGCCTCTGACCTCTCGAACTTCACTAATAACAGAATGACTAAGGCGGTATGGGAACGATGCAAGTCTCGGCCCAAGATGAAAAACATAAGTTTTTTAATGTGCCAATGGAAGTTCCCATTTTTCTGACCAATCACTCACGGCATCAATTGCCTTTTGAATTGCTTCGGCGTCATGAAGAGAAGAAACTGCTTTATATATTTTGAAATCATCCGCGAATACTTTACAGACTACATCTAAATTCTCGACCAATAGGAACCTCATACGTGTAAATCCTGAACAAAATAGGTGATAAGACCGATCCTTGAGGAACCCCGCAAGGAGCCGCTCTCACCGAAGAAAAGCTATCGTTAATGCGGACTTGAAGTCCGCATTAACGATAGCTTTTTGTGTGTTTGTTTTTTTTTTGCTTTTTTTAGACAGTCCCAAAAAGGTTGAAGCGATATTGATGCGAAAGGTCTTGAACGCGCTGTAGCATCCAATCCACTTAAAGTCTCACATTATATAATAGTAAGCGTCTGAGTTGTGACTGACATATGGAAATGTTAAAGTCACGGTTCAGGTAACTATCCTGTTATTCATTATAATGCGACATTTGGTAGTGATGGCGAGGTCCAGTCAGAAGTTATCACCTGCATAGGTCCAAAATGGAGCTTTGAGGGAGCTACTGAGTTAGGCCTTGCTTTCTAGAGCACCTTCTTGATGCTTCACACTTCATTTTATAGTGGATTTCTTCGACGAGTTTTTCTATTAGTGGATGTATGGTGTGGGCTCTTCTACCCGCGCTGTGAAAGAGAAGATTCAAATTTCCACTAGAAGATTACGGTATCCCGTTGCTCGGGAACCTCTGCCTTTAACCGTGGAAATTCGGGTAGAAATAGCTCCCACGTTTCCAAATAGACGAATTAGAGATCAGATATCGAGTGCATATGGAGCAACTACAGATCAACGCAATAATATCTGGACGACGAGAAAGGTTTCTCAACTGAAAGGTCCCGTTTCTTCCTTAGTTTCATTACGGAAACGAGTCAACTATGGTGTAAAAGAAGAAGTTTTCGATTTGGTGTGCATCGCTACCAGCGCCTGACAGCAAGCATTAGCACAGACCTTAACCCAAACTTCTTGTGTGGTCCGTTAAAAAGTCAATTAGGTTTTTCCTCAACTAACTTAGTCTTGCTCACAGAAATGGATTAGACTTCAGGGGCAGGTTTACACCCGTGGGAATGGGAAGCGTACAGAGNAGCTACCTCTTACTACCAGTTACCTTGTGTGATATCCGGTTAAGAATCCAGAAGAGAAGTGAGAAAGATTGCGGAGGTGCCAGATTGGGTTTGATATTAACTCAGCTGAACTGCCTTTGCATGAGAAGCGACCTCTGAAAAATCGGAAACACAAGTTTGAGTGTTTTTGTCTTCATCACTCCCTGTCGATATACTTTTATGCTCCATATGCCCACTTCCTTTTGATCGAGCTAGCTTCTCAACCGTTGATTGACTGATGTCGAAACGGTCTAGATATGCATGGACATAAACATAAAAGGGTCACTCAGTTCTGGGTGGGGAATTGGTACCTACTTCCCTCCCCCTCCCCCAAGGCAAAAAGAGTAATGTTTGGAAATACTTTCCGCTAGTTTCAGGGCCCACCCGATCTTTACACAAGAAGCTCGAAGAAAGACATAACGACTTGTATATCAAGAGGGAGCTCGCCCGGATTGGGTTGAGGACTATGGATCTCGCAAAAGATACTTTGGAAAGGACAAGGGGTGGAAAGATAATGATGGCAAGGGAAACATTGAAGCTAGGTACACGATGAGTCACAAACAGCACCCATTCCCTCGACTATCTGTTATGAGCATGGTGCATGCAAGAAAGTTTCCCCGACCATAAACCTCTGCTCCAACGGCATACTATGCATACAATTCTGCGGGTCAGAAATTGCATGCATTCCCATCTAACAGCAGAACTGTTGGTCAAAAAACCCAACATTGTCATTAATTCATAGAGTTCAATGATGAATTCCTTTGGAGTTGATCAGTTCCATTCCTAAAGATGCCCCATTTTTTGACTTCCTGCCAGGATCCTGTGATCTTGCCGTGTTAATAGGAGCTCAAAAAGTTTCTAGAAGGGGTATTGCGGGGAGGTACTGCGTTAGTGGACGCAGTAACACGCTGGTCACTCCCCTTGAGCAGCTCGCAATGAGGAATTATGAATAAAGCGGCATTTTCTTTTTTAATTTTATGCACTATTGAAATACTACTTGATATTATTACAAAACTATTAATCACCAAACATTTCACACCAGCTAAGAGTTTAATTGTGTGTGTAGGTTGCTCTAACTCTCCAAATGCTCCTCTCTAATCATAATTGTTCACGAAAAACTGTATTTCAGATTATTCGGAAGACCAGCAACCAACTCACAGCCGCTCAAAAAGAATGAGGACTTCGTTCAAACATCATCAACTTCGAACAATGAAGCAGTACTTTAATTTGAATCACAACCCTGATGCCAAGGACCTCAAACAACTGGCCCAAAAAACTGGACTGACCAAGCGAGTTTTACAGGTAATCCAGCTTAGTCATCAATTGATGGACATTACATATGTGACCACACTTTTGCCACGCTTCGGTATGTATTGGCCGAGATGGAAGCCCTGATCTGACCTCGCAGGACCCCAAAACCAGCCTGGCCGACGTACACGCCCACACCGGACGAGTTGTCACGGCGATACAGAGCGATAGGGATCACACCATCTATGCGACTTTGTTTCATTCAAATCCAATCCCAATATTCATTTCCTTCTGAAGCCTTATATTTCACGTTTCCTTCACCTCTTTTGCCCTAATCTGGATTATAATTTCCATTAATCCTCTTGAAATAGATACCCCGAAATCAACGTGAACAGCGCTTTCGAAGAAACACTCAACAGTATTAAAAAAACGCACAGTTTCACCGTCTGCATCTCCCTGTTTTCTTTAGGGGATTTCCTACATACATTTCCGATGCAAGTGTTCGTATCCTGGATTGGCGGGTCTCATTTGCTCGTTTGAGCAATGTGTTACAATCAAAAATCGCCTCACCTGTATCACCTGTCATCCCTTTGATAATCGACTTCCTCGAGGTTCCAAAAACAACTTCATTCGTCTCAACTGCGAGCCAAAGTAATTCAGTGGCACGTCCTCGCTGGAGGGTTACGCACAAAGCATTCCTTCAGTTAAGAGGATTCGTACAGAAGTTTGGATATCGGGCTCGTGGTGTTCGTTTGACACCCCGAGGGATCCACTCAGTAACCGCCCAGGTCCAACGGTAATAACTAACGTGTCCTCCTCATCCACTTGATTTTCAGTTCCAAAAGTAGGCAACGATACTCTTGACTCTCCGTGTTCCACTATCCACTCGCGTGTATAGGGGAATTCCGAGCATCCTATCATCCATAGAGCGTTGATGACGCTGTCTGTATGATCATCCTGCTTTCGTAGAAGCCCAAGTCTCCGAGGCGTATGTCAAAGTAGGGGAAGCCACCCCGCAGGTGGTGGATCAAACTAGCATGACAATCTAAACGCATAAATCTGTGCTGAAATCATTCGGCCATCCTATTTCAAGTGTGCAAGGTGACAGGCACGTGACTCTTGTCGTATTTCGCAGGTGTGGTTTCAAAATGCGAGGGCGAAATTCCGACGGTCGATGCATAGCAGCGATGGCTCCAGTATATCTCCATTCCCAGTGGTATCGTCAACTAGTCAAGATGAACAGGTACAGTAAATACTTCTCACGGTCCTTTTCAAATTACTTCCTGAATTATTCCAAATTATTGATGCTTAAAGAACTGCGTATACCGCACGTTCTCAGAAACAGGAGAGTTACTGTGAGGGTAGGGTGCGAATAATGTGAAGGCGGTGATTATTGTGTTCTCTCATTAGAGAATCCCTTGTTCTTAGATGATAGTTATCTCAAGTGTATAAGAGCTACTTGAAGAGTTGCCGACCCGCTGGCATGCGCAGTAGTCTCTCAGCTAGCATTCATTGTGGCCTACTACTGATGACGGCCGGCCACAGGAGTAACAAATGGCTTCTTTATGTGTAGGAAATAAAATTAAAGATTATAAATGAATAGTGAAGCAAGCTGAAAGTAAAAGATACTAAACTCCCCTCATTGGTAGAAGCTCGTCACCAATACTCTGAGTTCTCGTACTGCTATTTTTTTGAGTTTTTGAGGTAACTGTTTTGTGAACATGGAGGAAGTAACATGTTAGTAAGTTTGTCTTCACGCTCAAAAAATTTTTTGTAAGTATGTAATGAATGCAATGACTCCTGAGTGCGCGGGATTCTTAAGAGGAATTCTAGACGCTGCATTTCGCATACTTCGAGTTGAACAGAGGCGGCAAAACCGACATACCAAGGCACACCGGGACACACCATTTTATAAAGCTGTTTGGAAAGAAATGCGCGTTTGAGTCTAAAAAAATTTTATAATAAAAACGAAATTAAACAAAGATAGTCTCTATTACTATCAATGACTTGTTGCCAACGTATATACAAAAAATGGTTTCCTCTTTTAAAGAACTCGGCCGGCGGCGACTCAAAGTAGTTGGACATCTAGATTTGGACCTCTTCGCAGTTTGTGAACTTTCTCTCGGCCACTGAGTGCTGCATCGAACGGAACAGATGAAAATCGGATCGGATGAGGCAGGACCTCCCAGCCCAGTTCCTCAATGTTTTCCAAAGTATTATACTTTTCGCGTCATGTGGACGAGCGGTTGGTGTCGTTTTGACATTTCGACACCTTGACGGCGCAATGCTTGATCCACGCGGTTTAAGTGATCTTTGTAGGTGTTCGCCGTTACTGTTTGATCCGAATCCAGAACTTCAAACCTTTGCTGTTCCACCAGACACAGAGCATCACTTTTTGTCGTGTACATCCGGTTACGG